CTGCCCACTTACCCCAAGGCTTGTGGTTGTCGTTCGCTGCTGGCACGTTGTGGTCCGTCTGCTTGCCCTTGCAGCCAGCCTTGATGCAGAGTGAGAGGTGTTGTGGCGTGTAACCACCGCACCGCACGCACTGCCAGCACTTCGCCATGAGAGCCACAGGGTCCAAACGAACAGACAGAGTCGGAACAGGACTGCGCACCCTCGGGCTGAGGGAGGCAAGTGATGACCACGGGCGGACCTAGCACCACAAGAAGATGAATCGCAAGCTCGGGGGACAGAGCTATAACGCTGCACTGGGTGTGGCAGACGCATGTGGTCCCCCTCCCCATTGGGGCCCTCGATGGAGATCCATGTGGGGCCACGAAGCGCTGCACTGGGTATGGCAGACGCATGTGGTACCCCCCCTTGGGGTGTTCGGTGGAACTCCCTATGGGGCCACGAAGCGCTGCACTGGGTGTGGCAAACGCATGTGGTACCCCCCTGAAGCCTTACGTGGAGCCCCCTATGGGGCCACGAAGCGCTGCACTGGGTGTGGCGGACGCATGTGGTGACCCCACCGCATTGGGGCCTTCGGTGGAGCTCCATGTGGGGTCACGAAGCGCTGTACTGGGTGTGGCAGACGCATGTGGTACCTCCCCCCCTGGGGAGTTCGGTGGAGCTCCCTATGGGGCCACGAAGCGCTGCACTGGGTATGGCAAACGCATGTGGTACCCCCTGAGGCCTTACGTGGAACTCCCAATGGGGCCACGAAGCGCTGCACTGGGTGTGGCAGACGCATGTGGTACCCCCTCCCGTGGTGCCTTCGGTGGAGTTCCCACTGGGCCACGAAACGCCGCACTGGGTGTGGCAGACGTGTGTGGTACCCCCCTGGGGCCGTATGTGGAGTTCCCTATGGGGCCACGAAGCGCTGTCCTGGGTGTGGCAGACGCATGTGGTACTCCCGCCCCCTCTGGTGCCTTCGGTGGAGCTCCCACTGGGCCACGAAACGCTGCACCGGGTGTGACAAACGCATGTGGTACCCCACCCTGGGGCCTGACGTGGAGCTCCCTATGGGGCCACGAAGCGCTGTACTGGGTGGGTGAAGCGCATGGAGGAGGGAGGAAGGGGAAGGAGGAGGGAGTGGGACGCGGGGCGCTGTCTCTTCAAAACGAGGACCCAACAACACAGGATGGTTGGGAAGAAAAACAAATGGTAGTAGTCGTATTATTAGCGGGATGAAACGGAAGAGGATGAGGGGAAGGAGGAACGACCCGCATCAGGATGAGAGAGTGGGATGTCATCGGTCGTTGACGCCTACAGCCCTACCTCCCCTGGGCGCACCCTGGCGGCCCGCCCGCGCCAGCGCCGCAGCCGTCCGTGAACGGCGGGCTGAGGCGCGTAGATGTGTGAGGACAATTGGCGGCAAGCGCGGCGGGAAAGCGAGAAGGGGCGGGCCTTCTCAGAAGGCTCGGAAGTCCTCCGGCCTTCTGGTAAGTTTTTCAAACCTTCCCTGAGGACGCATAGAACTTCTCAGAAGGCCATAGAGCTTCTGGGAAACCCCGTTGCCTTCTGAGAGGGCCTTCCCACTTGCCCCCCTCGCTCGCCACCGACATAAGCCCGCGCAGCAGGAGGAGGGGGTTTAAGAGGAGGAGGAGGAGGAGGAGGAGGAGGAGGAGGAGGAGGAGGAGGAGGAGGGTTCCGCCGACCCCGCCTACCGCGCGCGTGGCGGCAGAGCGCGGCGCAGGGCGGCGGGGCGACGACGGGGGGGGGGGGGGGGGGCGCGCGGGCGGGGGGCTGGCCGCCGCGCCTCCAGGCCCCTGTGGTCCGGGCCAGCCGGGGGGGAGCTGTCACCGTCGATGAGCGACACCTCGGGGAGCAACGAGGTTCGGAGACCTCCTCCCCAGACATGCTCGCGTCGTAAAAGAAAAAAAACAAAAAAAAATCAGGACGGCAAACGTTCCACTATTTTCGACCCTCGGGGGCCCTCGCCGGGCCCCGGGACCGTCAAAAAACGACTCAGGATGAAAAACCGGTCCCAGGGAAAGGGTCGGGACTTCCAGGGACGCCGTCCTGAAAACATCCGGACGTCGCATGTGTGGGTCCCCCTCGTCCCCCTCCTCCTCCGCATGTCGTCGTCCAACCTTCGCTTCCTCCTCCATCTCCAAGCGAAAGCCCTGCGGGCTCGGCCAGCTGAGAGCCTTGGGTGGCAACTCCTGGGAGCCTCGCATACCATCTTGCTAGTTCTTGCGGATCGACGCTGGCCGACGCCAATTGACGCTCAATCGGCGCGTTCTCATTGATTACCGCACGCTGGCCGACGCCAATCGACGCTCAATCGGCGCGTTGAACACACAAGGTACAGAAGCAATTTCGAGGACAGACATGGCTCCCATGATCCATGATTTGCTACCGAATGAGCCTTCCCAGACCTCTGAGCCAGCCCAGCATTGCGACTTCAGACGGCTGCAGCCAGCCCAAACATTCCCGACAAACCCCGGCAAGACCAGGCCAGCCCAGACCGGCCTGGCCTGAGACTCTGGAGGCCTCTCTGGCAGCCGCCCTTCCTAAGCCTTGTCCGGATGCTTTTTCCCCTTATTTCGTTTCTCAAAACGTGTGTTACCGCCAACGTGCGTTTGTCAACCAAACCCCTTCAATACGACGCCGGCGGTGTAATGGAGGCCGACACAGGATGCGTGCTGGCGGCGGGGCTGAACGGGGCAAACGCACATTGGGCTAACACACGTCCTGAGGATCATCGGTAATAGCGTTGCGCTAGAGGATTCTAACAATGGTAAACAATGGCCACACACAGCAATCCCACAAGGGGGGACGGGGAGCCCCATTATAGACAGCCCCGTTCGGCAGCCGCTTCGCTTGAAACGCCGGCGCAATGTATTCAGGAGAGTTGTTCTCGCCTCCATGCTGGCTGCATGTTTGCTCCAGACAGCCGCGATGCCTTGCAAAAACCGCACACTGAGGTGCACACGTCCAGACTCGCACCCCTCCTCGACCCGCCTCTGCACCTCTGCTGCGATTCGGACGCCTTGCGGGGGGAACGGTTGCCCCTCGCAGTCCAGGGCTCTGACAGCGCCCTCGTCGCAGCGGCTGGATGTCCCCCTGGGCTCTGGCCAGGACGCGCTCCTGGAGAGGCGCCCGGGCCTCAACTTCCCGAGGGCGAGGGAGGGGGGGCGAGAGGATCGCGCCCCAGGTCTCCTCCTCCTCCTCCTCCTCCTCCTCCTCCTCCTCCTTCTCCTCCTCCTCCTCCTCCTCCTCCTCCTCCTCCTCCTCCTCCTCCTCCTCCTCCCTCATCATCATCATCATCATCATCATCATCATCATCATCATCATCATCCTCCCCCTCCTCCTCCTCCTCCCCTCCTCCTCCTCCTCCTCCTCCTCCTCCTCCTCTTCTCCCTCCTCCTCCTCCTCCCTCCTCCTCCTCCTCTCCTCCTCCTCCTCCTCCTCCTCCTCCTCCTCCTCCTCCTCCGCCTCCGCCTCCGCCTCCTCCTCCTCCTCCGCCTCCGCCTCCTCCTCCTCCTCCTCCTCCTCCTCCTCCTCCTCCTCCACTTGGTTTGGCGCAAGCTTCGCCTCGCTGGGTCGCGCCCCGCCTCCCGCGACGTCGCCGACGCCGCCGACGATGACGGGCGCCCGCGCGGCACCACTGGAGGCAGCGCGCGGCGCTCTCCTCGCAGTGCATGCCGCCGCAATGCTCACGGGCGGCGTGAGTGTGGAGTGCCGCGAGGCGGCACGCCTCGTCCGCGCGGCCGAGGGCTTGCTCCGTACGGCCGTGGCCGTCTTGACGGCGCCGCCCACCCCCGCCGCGCCTCTGCAGGGGGCGGCATCGCCCACTGCTGCAGTACGGCGGCGGCGTCGCCCTCTTGGAGGAGGTGGCCGTGCGGGAGCGGGAGTGGCGCTGCCAGCAATGGAGGAAGACGCCGAGGGTATGGCATGGAGCGCTGTGCAGGGCGACGCACTGAAGCACCAGAACAAGAACATGGGCAAGGGCGCCCCACGCCTGCCGAACGGATCGAGCGCGCTGCAGCTGACGGCCCTCGATCCCCCCTCCGTCGACGACGACGACATGGACGACGAGTGGGCGGACGAGCTGCCCACGCGGAAAGCCCCGAACCGCCCTGGGCTTGGGAGCCTGAAGGAGGGCGACCGCGTTCGTCTCCGTGATGGTCCTCAACGGACGCTGTATAGCGACGTCGACGAGGACGGCTGCGTGTGAGTCCAGGAGGGCAAGGTCCGCCGTGCGGTGGTCTGGCAGTTCGCCGTGGAGGACGCGATACCGTTTGGGCAGCTGGCGCCGTCGCCCGGCTCTGGAGCGGCGGGGGGAGGGCGATAATGCCCACTCGGGCCGTTCTCCCCCTCAACATCTTCCTCTTCGTTTCTCCTGTTGCGCGGCTTCGTGAAGCCGCGGGAACTGCTCGTGGAGACCCTGAGCGGGGCCCGCGAGCGCCGCCATGATGGCAAAACCGCCGCCTTGGCGTTGTCTCTCTCTCTTTCTCTCTCTCTCTCTCTCTCTCTCTCTCTCTATTCTCCTCCTCCCCCTCCTCCTCCCCCTCCTCCTCCCCCTCCTCCTCCTCCTCCCCCTCCCCCTCCTCCTCCTCCCCCGCCTCCTCCTCCTCCTCCTCCTCCTCCTCCTCCTCCTCCTCCTCCTCCTCCTCCTCCTCCCCAGCCATTCTGCGCCGAGCCGTCTTTGCGCCTGCAGAGAGGCGGGACGGTGCTGGAGAGCGCCAACTTCAGAGTGGCACTGCGCTATCGAACTACTTCATGGCCCCAAGCTCCAAGTCGCGGGATGGAGGCTGGGCTTGCAGCGGATGCAAAGCTCGGAATGGGGACGGCTACGATTTCTGCTGGAAGTGCTGAAGGTTCGTGACTCCGCGAAGACTGCGAACCACGGTGCGGCCAGCTCCCAGGACGGCGCAGAGGCCGAGGATGCCACCAAAGCAAAGCTCAAGAAGTTACGGGCACACCTGGCATAACTTCGACGGCAGGCGGAGGACCCAGACTTGGCCATGCACGTCCAGGGAAACATCGACATCGCGCAGAAAGAAGTTGATGACTTGCAGGCAGCTGTCGACAGCGGCAGCGACATCCCACGTTGCTTCTCGGAGTGCAAGCTTGTCCGAGAGAGGAACAAAACGCAGGCGCAGCGTGAGCGCACGCAGGGGCGGGTCGAGAAGCTGGAGCCGGAGATCAAGGAGGCCCAGGAGAAGCTTGACAGGGAGAAAGCCCTCTTGGCCAGACAAGATGACAAAATTCCAAAAGCAGAGTGCCCGTATCGAGGAGCTCAGCGTGCCCAAGCCGGGCAAGGGCTGGGGTGCGGCCGCGCCCTCCCTGGAGCAAGCCAAGAAGTGCCTGCGCGACCAGGAGACGGACACCGAGATCGCCGAAGCCCTCCGCCACGCGCAGCAGCAGCACGCCGCCGAGGAGGAGCGAGCTGCTGCGGCCGCAGCGGCAGCAGCCGCCAAGGCCAAGAAGGAGGCCGACGCCGCAGCGCGGGAGGCCGCCCACGACAAGCAGCAGAGGAACAAGCGCAGAGCCGAGGAGGAGATCAAGCAGGAGTTGGTCTCTTTTCCCCAGAACGCCGACGCGACGCAGATCACAAAGATCATGCAGGAGGCAGGCTGCGCGGCCGAGCAGATCGAGCGCCATCGGCCACACCTTCTGCCTCTGCTGGCTGGCATGCAGCCTGACACCACGCTCACCATCAGCAAGAGCATGTGGACGGCCCCGCCTTCGTCCTGACGAAGAGCAGGGGCGGGGGTTCTCCACCATCAACGCGAACTCCATCGGCACGCTGGAGCGGAATATGCGCCCCATCAGGTACACGTACAAGTATCCCATCATCATGGCGCAGGAGCTGCAGGCTAACGAGCACAGCATCTCCTGCTTCACGCAACGCATGCAGAAGGAGGGCTGGAGGCTGGGCATTGCGCCGAGCGTCCGCACCGCACGGGGGGGGCTGGAGCGCAGGGGCGCTCCTGGCGACCGTGCGGCCAAACAACATGAGCTACGCCAGGGGGGCCGACACGTGGGACATCTCGCCCCGCGAGTCCAGGGGCCGCCTCGCGATTGGCTGGGTTCGCGCCCTCGGCAAGGACCTCGGCAAGGAGGGCATCGCCCTAGGCGCGGCCTACCTCTGGGTCAGCGAGGGCATGACAGACCGCAACAGGGCCATCCTTCGGAACTTCACTACGGCCGCTGCGGCGGCGGGGAAGTACTGGATCCTGGGCGGCGACTTCAACATGGACCCAGCAGAGCTACAACGCACAGGGGTGATCAACAGAATGGACGGGGTCATCGTGTTCGACACCTCGCGCGGCTCGTGCGTCGCACTGGGCGAGGCGCGGCACCGCGACTACTTCATCATGTCCAAGACGCTCCTGGATGGCCCGCTCCACGTGGCCGTGCAAAATCAGCACAACACGGCGCCGCACTCACCTGTGCTCCTGCGAGTTCCTCGCCCACGGGAAGAGAAACGCTGGGTACGGGTACTGCGGCGCCAACGGCGATGGCCACTTCAGCTGCCCACAGGCTGCGTGGCGGGGCCGACCTCGTGGCCACGACTCCTGGAGCACCGCAGGCATACTCAGGAGGATGTGGACCGCTACTGGGGCAACCTGGCCAACGCGTACGAGGAGCACCTGAACAAGTACTTCAACTACGTCGGCCTGGACTGGCACGAGCGCAAGGGTCACCTGCAGCTGCCCACCTACGCCTGGGAGCAGCTCAAGCCGCCCACGGTGCGCGAGGCCGCGCGGGAGCAGCAGTGGGCGGAGGCAGCTGAATGGCTGGGGCGCCGCTTGGAACACGTCAGCACCGCAGTGCGAGCGCGGTGGAAGAACGGGAAGCAAGAGACGTTGGACTGGGCTCAGAACAACGCCAAGGGCATCCTAGGGAAGGACATCATCGGGCCGCTCCTCGAGCGGAACCACCCAGCATGGCGCGCCGAGCCCGACCAGGAGCGGGGTGATGGCGACGCCACGGACGAGCAGGACAACTCAGACAACCTGGACGAGTTAAACTACACAGTGCGCCGAGTCGAGGAGGACATGACGAGCCTCCCAGAGAATACTCCTCGGCGGACCCCCGCTGTCCTCGGCCTCACGGCTTCGCAGGACTGCCCGTTGGTCGGGGCGGAAGCGGCAGGGGAGCGCCGCCGACCGACGGGGCGGGGGCGATACACGGACATCGATTGGGGCAAGTTGGCGAACACAGTCGCCTGGATCGACGCCGAGCACATCACCGAGAGGGGCTTGCACTACGTGGACTGCGTGGCCAAGCGCATGACAGTGGCCAGCCAGCGCACGTGGCGGCGAGCACGACCGGAAGCGGCCCGAGACTGGCGACGCCAGGTGACCAAGCACAGCCAGGCGGGGGCGGGGGCGTTGCACAAGTGGGCACAGCCGCCTGTGCCGTGGGCCCCGATCCAGCCGACAGAGTCCCGCGCCCAGCAGGAGCTCACGCACCCGCAGGTGGCAGCGGACGCGGCGCTGGAGGGCTGGGAGACGGTCTGGGCGGACAGCTACAACGCCGACGAGCCGTGGTGCCAGGCCCCCAGCGACGACGAGTGGAGCGAGCACAAAGTCCCGCGGATCACCCCGAGGGACGTCATCGAGGCTTGTGGGCGGTTCCGAGCTGGGACAGGCCTGGGAGAAACAGACTGGCACCCGCGTCTCTGGCGACATGGCGGGTTTCCAGGAGCGGCACGCGTGGCAAGCATGCTCAACGCGGTGGAGCGAGGAGCGCCTTGGCCCACGTCGCAGGCCACCATCCTATCTACCTGACGCCGAAGGCGGCAGGTGGCTTTCGCAACCTGGGCCTTATCCCTGAGCTGGCGCGCGTGTGGGAGACCATCCGCATCCCCTACGCGAGGCGTTGGGAGGCAGCAAACAAGCGAGTCTATGACTGGGCACGCCGAGGGAGATCGTCGGAACGCGCGGCATGGCTACAGGCACTCTACTGTGAGGCCGCGCGGGCCGACGGACACGACTATGCGGTGACCTACTTCGACCTGGTCAAGTGCTTCGAGTGGGTCACCCATCGGAAGGTTTGGGAGGCGTCGCAGAGATGGGGCTTCAATCCAATCATCATGCGGACCGTCCTCAAGATCTACAGCATGGCGCGGCGCACCGTCCTGGACGGGTGCTACGCCGACGGCAAGGCGTGGCAGCGCGGCATCGTGGCGGGCAGCGGGTGCGCACCGTTCTGTCTCAAGATGGTGATCATCCTCGAGTTGGACAGGCTGGTGCACCAGGTTCCCCTGGGCGGACACGTGCCTCTTCTTCGACGACCTCGCCATGGCCACGTACGGCAGGCGCGAGTACGTCGACGAGGTCCACCCGCGGCTCATCGAGGCCGTGGTCACCATGTTCGAGACCGCGCTGGACATGGCCGTCTCGCGGGGCGCGGAGGGGAAGACGGTCACCCTGGCCTCCTCCACCGCGCTGGGCCAGCACATCAACAAGAGTGCCAGGCACCTCGGCGTGAGAGTGGTCAAGCACGAGAAGCACCTGGGAGCGACAGCAACAGCATGCAGACGGAGGAGAGTGGCCGCCATCAACAAGCGGGCGCTCAAGTTTGCAGCGAGAAAGGCACGGGTGGCAGCCGTGCGCAGAGCAGGAAGAGCGGCACACAAGCTGATTCGACAAGCCAAAGTGCCAGCCCTCCTCTACGGATCGTCCGTCGTCGGCATGGCAGACCCCAAGCTCGCCGAGCTCAGGAAGAACGCGGCGGCGGCGATGGAGGGCAACAACAAGGGAAGGTCCACGGCGCTCACGCTGCTCAGCGACAGGGCCGACCCAGGCATCCTCGCCAACAGTGGCCCCATCATCGCCTGGGCTACAGCGTGGCAGGAAGCGCTCGAGGACGACCAGCTGGCCGCGCGGCTCCAGAGCGCGTGGCGCCCCTGGGTGATGAAGATCTACAAGTGCAAGGCGCCCTGGCTCACAGTGCGGGGGCCAGCGGGGGCGCCCTGGCTCACAGTGCAAGGCGCCCTGGCTCACAGTGCAAGGCGCCCTGGCTCACAGTGCGCGGCGACGGGCAGGCGCCTCGGCTGGATGACGCAGGCCTCGCACACAGCCACCATCGACGGGAACGTGCTCGACCTCCGCTACACCATGCTGCAGGAGATCCAGCACCACGTCGCGCGCACCACGGAGAAGCAGCTGCAGGGCGAGTGGTTGGGCCAGCACGGCCGCCTGTGCGGCATCACCTCCATCTTCCTGGCACCGGTGCAAGCACTACTACGACGACCCCTCCAGGGCCGCTGGACGCAGGCCCACCGCACTCGAGTGAGGGGCCTGTTCTGCGGAGGGACGTGGCCGCAGGCGCGGCTACACGCATCAGGAGTTGCCACCGACAGCACATGCAGAGCGTGCGGGCTGGCACCAGGCACCGACAGGCACCGCACCTTCGCGTGCCCACTGCGCCAGCCACATCGCGACGTCGTCGGAGGCCTCCACATTCAGCAGCGAGGAGCCAACCCCTGGCCAGGCCCAGGAGCCGATGCTCTATGGGGGCGCGGCATCACGGCCGACCCCGCCGACGAGCTCGGGCTATGGGAGTTAGCGTCGTGCGACGACTGGCTCGCCGAGGGCAACTGGGACGGCCTCGCGACAGGGGACATCTACGTGGACGGCTCGTTGCAGTTCGGCGACTACGCACCACTGCGATGAGGAGGTTGGAGCTTCACCAAGCTCAAAGACAATGACGAGTACGACATGGACTACGTGTGCTACGGGCCCCTCCCTGGCGCACAGTGGGTCCAGAGCATCCTGCGGGCGGAGCTCTACGCGCTGCTGCAGGCGCTGCGTGTGGGCACCCCGCCCATGCGCATTTTCACCGACTGCCAGAACGTCGTCGACGGCGTGATGGCGGGACCAGCGTGGCTCGACAAGAGGAGCCGCCCGCACCTCGACCTCTGGGAGTGCATCGCCCAGGCCATCGCAGAGCTCGGAGGCCTGGGCCCGCGCACCGTGCAGGTGCTGAAAGTGAAGGCCCATGCGACGCGCGCCGAGCGAGCAGCTATCGGGCGCGCGCAGTGGGAGGGCAACAAAATAGCTGATCAGTACGCCAAGCAGGGAGCTCTGTATCATACCCACCCTGTTTGGTGTAGAGAGGCCTACATTCAGAAGTATCGACTGGTTCGGGACATCTTGGAATTCGGAGCCTACATAGGAGTCCTGGGCCGTGACATTGTCGACACTGAGCAGGGCTCGAGCCCGACGGACTCGAACCCCCCCGACCCCCCCTCGGACCTCCTGGACCTTCCTGGGAACCTGGGGGCGGTCGTGGGCGAGGAGGGCGGGGCCCTGGTGGCCCCTGACCCCCCTGCCCCGCCCCTGGTGGCCGACCTCCCGTCTCGGGCCGCTCTGGACTGGGGGGGCACCAGGGTCGACAGAGCCCAGAGAGCGGGGCACAACATCGCGACCCGCAACACGTACGTCTTTTCCCGCAGGTGTGCCAGGTACGCCCGTGACAGGTGGACGGGCCTATTCTCTCCATGTCGCCCTGGGGCCCAAAGGGTGATCGGGAGTAGGCTGACGCGGTTGTGGAGTGGGCTACACCCCTCCACCAACCAGCCCCTGTAGGGGCTCCTGGAGTCGAGGGTCTGGCTCGGGGACGGCCCGAAACGGCCCGAGGCTCCCACGGCACGAAAGCGTAGGCGGTCGTGATCCGTTTTGGCCCGCACTCATCCGCACTCATCCTCCTCCTCCACCTCCCCCTCTTCCTCCTGCTCCCCCTCCCCCTCCTCCTCCTCCTCCTCCTCCTCCTCTGCCTCCTGCTCCTCCTCCTCCTCCTCCTCCTCCTCCTCCTCCTCCTCCTCCTCCTCCTCCTCTCCCCCTCCCCCTCCCCCCCCTCCTCCTCCTCCTCCTCCTCCTCCTCCTCCTCCTCCCCTTCCTCCTCCTCCTCCTCCTCCCTCCTCCTCCTCCTCCACCTCCCCCTCTTCCTCCTCCTCCCCCCTCCTGCCTCCCCTCCTCCTCCTCCTCCTCCGCCTCCTCCTCCTCCTCCTTCCTCCTCCTCCTCCTCGTCCTCCTCCTCCTCCTCCCTCCTCCTCCTCCTCCTCCTCCTCCTCCTCCTCCGCCTCTGCCTCCTCCTCTTCCTCCTCCTCCTCCTCCTCCTCCTCTCCTCCTCCTACCTCCCCTCTCCTCCTCCCTCTCCTCCGCCTCCCTCCCCTCCTCCTCCTCCTCCTCTTCCTCCTCCATCCTCCTCCTCCTCCTCCTCCTCCTCCTCCTCCTCCTCCTCCTCCTCCTCCTCCTCCCCTCCCCCCTCCCCCTCCCCTCCTCCCTTCCTTCCGCCTCACTCCTGCCTCCTCCTCCCTCCTCCTCCTCCTCCTCCTCCTCCTCCTCCCCTTCCTCTCCTCCTCCTCCTCCTCCTCCTCCTCCTCCTCCTCATCCTCCTCCTCCTCTCCTCCGACTCCGCCTCCGCCTACGCCTCCTCCTCGCCTCCGCCTCCGCCTCCGCCTCCTCCCCTCTCCTCCTCCTCCGCCTCCCTCCTCCTCCTCCTCCCTCCTCCTCCTGCTCCTGCTCCTGCTCTGGCTCCTGCTCCCCTCTCTCCTGCTCCTGCTCCTGCTCCTGCTCCTCCTCCTCCTCCTCCGCTCCTCCTCCTCCTCCTCCTCCTCCTCTCCTCCTCCGCCTCCTCCTCCTCCTCCGCTCCGCCTCCCCTTTCGCCTCCGCCTCCGCCTCCGCCTCCGCCTCCGCCTCCGCCTCCGCCTGCGCCTGCGCCTGCGCCTGCGCCTCCGCCTCCGCCTCCGCCCCCGCCTCCGCCTCCGCCTCCGCCTCCGCCTCCCCCTCAACATCTTCCCCTCGACATATTCCTTTTCGTTTCTCCTGTTGCGCGGCTTCGTGAAGCCGCGGGAACTGCTCGTGGAGACCCTGAGCGGGGCCCGCGAGCGCCGCCATGATGGCAAAACCGCCGCCTTGGCGTTGTCTCTCTCTCTCTCTCTCTTTCTTTCTCTCTCTCTCTCTCTATATATATATATATATATTCTCCTCCTCCCCCTCCTCCTCCCCTCCTCCTCCTGCTCCCCGCTCCCCCTCCTCCTCCATCCCCCGCCTCCCTCCTCCTCCTCCTCCTCCTCCTCCATCCTGCCTCCTCGTCTCCTCTGCCCCTCCCGCACCATTCTGCTTCTGCGCCGAGCCGTCTTTGCGCCTGCAGAGAGGCGGGACGGTGCTGGAGAGCGCCAACTTCAGAGTGGCACTGCGCTCTCGGGCTACTTCATGGCCCCAAGCTCCAAGTCGCGGGATGGAGGCTGGGCTTGCAGCGGATGCGAAGCTCGGAATGGGGACGGCTACGATTTCTGCTGGAAGTGCTGAAGGTTCGTGACTCCGCGAAGACTGCGAACCACGGTGCGGCCAGCTCCCAGGACGGCGCAGAGGCCGAGGATGCCACCAAAGCAAAGCTCAAGAAGTTACGGGCACACCTGGCAGAACTTCGACGGCAGGCGGAGGACCCAGACTTGGCCATGCACGTCCAGGGAAACATCGACATCGTGCAGAAGAAGTTGATGACTTGCAGGCAGCTGTCGACAGCGGCAGCGACATCCCACGTTGCTTCTCGGAGTGCAAGCTTGTCCGAAAGAGGAACAAAACGCAGGCGCAGCGTGAGCGCACACAGGGGCGGGTCGAGAAGCTGGAGCCGGATAGCAAGGAGGCCCAGGAGAAGCTTGACAGGGAGAAAGCCCTCTTGGCCAGACAAGATGAGAAATTGCAAAAACAGAGTGCCCGTATCGAAGAGCTCAGCGTGCCCAAGCCGGGCAAGGGCTGGGGCGCGGCCGCGTCGTTCCTGGAGCAAGCCAAGAAGTGCCTGCGCGACCAGGAGACGGACACCAAGATCGCCGAAGCCCTCCGCCACGCGCAGCAGCAGCACACCGCCGAGGAGGAGCGAGCTGCTGCGGCCGCAGCGGCAGCAGCCGCCAAGGCCAAGAAGGAGGCCGACGCCGCAGCGCGGGAGGCCGCCCACGACAAGCAGCAGAGGAACAAGCGCAGAGCCGAGGAGGAGATCAAGCAGGAGTTGGTCTCTTTCCCCCAGAACGCCGACGCGACGCAGATCACAAAGATCATGCAGGAGGCAGGCTGCGCGGCCGAGCAGATCGAGCGCCATCGGCCTCACCGTCTGCCTCTGCTGGCTGGCATGCAGCCTGACACCACGCTCACCATCAGCAAGAGCACGTGGACGGCCCCGCCTTCGTCCTGACGAAGAGCAGGGGCAGGGGTTCTTCACCATCAACGCGAACTCCATCGGCACGCTGGAGCGGACTATGCGCTCCATCAGGTACACGTACAAGTATCCCATCATGATGGCGCAGGAGCTGCAGGCTAACGAGCACAGCATCTCCTGCTTCACGCAACGCATGCAGAAGGAGGGCTGGAGGCTGGGCATTGCGCCGAGCGTCCGCACCGCACGGGGGGGCTGGAGCGCAGGGGCGCTCCTGGCGACCGTGGGACATCTCGCCCCGCGAGTCCAGGGGCCGCCTCGCGATTGGCTGGGTTCGCGCCCTCGGCAAGGACCTCGGCAAAGAGGGCATCACCATAGGCGCGGCCTACCTCTGGGTCAGCGAGGGCATGACAGACCGCAACAGGGCCATCCTTCGGAACTTCACTACGGCCGCTGCGGCGGCGGGGAAGTACTGGATCCTGGGCGGCGACTTCAACGTGGACCCAGGAGAGCTACAGCACACACGGGTGATCACCAGAATGGACGGGGTCATCGTGTTCGACACCTCGCGCGGCTCGCGCGTCACACTGGGCGAGGCACGGCGCCGCGACTACTTCATCATGTCCAAGACGCTCCTGGATGGCCCGCTCCACGTGGCCGTGCAAAATCAGTACAACACGGCGCCGCACTCACCTGTGCTCCTGCGAGTTCCTCGCCTACGGGAAGAGAAACGCTGGGCACGGGTACTGCGGCGCCAACGGCGATGGCCACTTCAGCTGCCCACAGGCTGCGTGGCGGGGCCGACCTCGTGGCCACGACTCCTGGAGCACCGCAGGCATACTCAGGAGGGCGTGGGCCGCTACTGGGGCAACCTGGCCAACGCGTACGAAGAGCACCTGAACAAGTACTTCAACTGCGTCGGCCTGGGCTGGCACGAGCGCAAGGGTCACCTGCAGCTGCCCACCTACGCCTGGGGGCAGCTCAAGCCGCCCATGGTGCGCGAGGCCGCGCGGGAGCAGCAGTGGGCGGAGGCAGCTGAATGGCTGGGGCGCCGCTTGGAACACGTCAGCACAGCAGTGCGAGCGCGGTGGAAGAAGGGGAAGCAAGAGACGTTGGACTGGGCTCAGAACAACGCCAAGGGCATCCTAGGGAAGGACATCATCGGGCCGCTCCTCGAGCGGAACCACCCAGCATGGCGCGCCGAGCCCGACCAGGAGCGGGGCAATGACGACGCCACGGACGAGCAGGACAACTCAGACAACCTGGACGAGTTAAACTACACAGTGCGCCGAGTCGAGGAGGACATGACGAGCCTCCCAGAGAATACTCCTCGGCGGACCCCCGCTGTCCTCGGCCTCACGGCTTCGCAGGACTGCCCGTTGTCCGGGGCGGAAGCGGCAGGACAGCGCCGCCGGCCGACGGGGCGGGGGCGATACACGGACATCGATTGGGGCAAGTTGGCGAACACAGTCGCCTGGATCGACGCCGAGCACATCACCGAGAGGGGCTTGCACTACGTGGACTGCGTGGCCAAGCGCATGACAGTGGCCAGCCAGCGCACGTGGCGGCGAGCACGACCGGAAGCGGCCCGAGACTGGCGACGCCGGGTGACCAAGCACAGCCAGGCGGGGGCGGGGGCGCTGCACAAGTGGACAAAGCCGCCTGTGCCGTGGGCCCCGATCCAGCCGACAGGGTCCCGCGCCCAGCAGGAGCTCACGCACCCGCAGGTGGCAGCGGACACGGCGCTGGAGGGCTGGGAGACGGTCTGGGCGGACAACTACAACGCCGACGAGCCGCGGTGCCAGGCCCCCAGCGACGACGAGTGGAGCGAGCACAGAGTCCCGCGGATCACCCCGAGGGACGTCATCGAGGCTTGTGGGCGGTTCCGAGCTGGGACAGGCCTGGGAGAAGCAGACTGGCACCCGCGTCTCTGGCGACATGGCGGGTTTCCAGGAGCGGCACGCGTGGCAAGCGTGCTCAACGCGGTGGAGCGAGGAGCGCCTTGGCCCACGTCGCAGGCCGCCATCCTCATCTACCTCACGCCGAAGGCGGCAGGTGGCTTTCGCAACCTGGGCCTTATCCCTGAGCTGGCGCGCGCGCGGGAGACCATCCGCATCCCCTACGCGAGGCGTTGGGAGGCAGCAAACAAGCGAGCCTATGACTGGGCACGCCGAGGGAGACCGCCGGACCGCGCGGCATGGCTACAGGCACTCTACTGTGAGGCCGCGCGGGCCGACGGACACGACTATGCGGTGACCTACTTCGACCTGATCAAGTGCTTCGAGTGGGTCACCCATCGGAAGGTTTGGGAGGCGTCGCAGAGATGGGGCTTCAATCCAATCATCATGCGGACCGTCCTCAAGATCTACAGCATGGCGCGGCGCATCGTCCTGGACGGGTGCTACGCCGACGGCAAGGCGTGGCAGCGCGGCATCGTGGCGGGCAGCAGGTGCGCACCGTTCTGCCTCAAGATGGTGATCATCCTCGAGTTGGACAGGCTGGTGCACCAGGTTCCCCTGGGCGGACGCGTGCCTCTTCTTCGACGACCTCGCCATGGCCACGTACGGCAGGCACGAGTACGTCGACGAGGTCCACCCGCGGCTCATCGAGGCCGTGGTCACCATGTTCGAGACCACGCCGGACATGGCCGTCTCGCGGGGCGCGGAGGGGAAGACGGTCGCCCTGGCCTCCTCCACCGCGCTGGGCCAGCACATCAACAAGAGTGCCAGGCACCTCGGCGCGAGAGTGGTCAAGCACGAGAAGCACCTGGGAGCGACAGCAACAGCATGCAGACGGAGGAGAGTGGCCGCCATCAACAAGCGGGCGCTCAAGTTTGCAGCGAGAAAGGCACGGGTGGCAGCCGTGCGCAGAGCAGGAAGAGCGGCACACAAGCTGATTCGACAAGCCAAAGTGCCAGCCCTCCTCTACGGATCCTCCGTCGTCGGCATGGCAGACTCCAAGCTCACCGAGTTCAGGAAGAACGCGGTGGCGGCGATGGAGGGCAACAACAAGGGAAGGTCCACGGCGCTCACGCTGCTCAGCGACAGGGCCGACCCAGGCATCCTCGCCAACAGTGGCCCCATCATCGCCTGGGCTACAGCGTGGCAGGAAGCGCTCGAGGACGACCAGCTGGCCGCGCGGCTCCAGAGCGCGTGGCGCCCCTGGGTGATGAAGATCTACAAGTGCAAGGCGCCCTGGCTCACAGTGCGGGGGCCAGCGGGGGCGCCCTGGCTCACAGTGCAAGGCGCCCTGGCTCACAGTGCAAGGCGCCCTGGCTCACAGTGCGCGGCGACGGGCAGGCGCCTCGGCTGGATGACGCAGGCCTCGCACACAGCCACCATCGACGGGAACGTGCTCGACCTCCGCTACACCATGCTGCAGGAGATCCAGCACCACGTCGCGCGCACCACGGAGAAGCAGCTGCAGGGCGAGTGGTTGGGCCAGCACGGCCGCCTGTGCGGCATCACCTCCATCTTCCTGGCACCGGTGCAAGCACTACTACGACGACCCCTCCAGGGCCGCTGGACGCAGGCCCACCGCACTCGAGTGAGGGGCCTGTTCTGCGGAGGGACGTGGCCGCAGGCGCGGCTACACGCATCAGGAGTTGCCACCGACACACATTCAGAGCGCGCGTGGCTGGCACCGCACCGACAGGCCACCGCGCCTTCGTGTGGCCCCCTGCGGTGGCCACATCGCGACGTGTCGGCCACACGCCACATTCATTTTGAATTCGACCAACCCCTGGCAAAAAAAAAGAAAAAAAAAAGAAAAGACACACAAAAAAACACAAAAGAACCGAAAAAAAAAAATGGCCCAGGAGCAGATGCTCCTATGGGGGCTGCGGCATCACGGCCGCGCCCCCGCCGACGAGCTCAGGGCTATGGGAGTTAGCGTGTCGTGGCGACGACTGCAAAAAGAAAGAGCAAACTGGGACGGCCTCGCGAGCAAGACATCCTTGGACTGCTCCGAGGCAGTTCGGCGAACAAACGCGCACTGCGCCCGAGGTAGGTTGGAGCTTCACAAGCTCACGACAATGACGAGTACGACAGAGGACTACGTGACGTGGTGGCGCAACTCCCTGGCGCACAGTGGGTCCAGAGCATCCTGCGGGCGGAGCTCTACGCGCTGCTGCAGGCGCTGCGTGTGGGCACCCCGCCCATGCGCATTTTCACCGACTGCCAGAACGTCGTCGACGGCGTGATGGCGGGACCAGCGCGGCTCGACAAGAGGAGCCGCCCGCACCTCGACCTCTGGGAGTGCATCGCCCAGGCCATCGCAGAGCTCGGAGGCCTGGGCCCGCGCACCGTGCAGGTGCTGAAAGTGAAGGCCCATGCGACGCGCGCCGAGCGAGCAGCTATCGGGCGCGCGCAGTGGGAGGGCAACAAAATAGCTGATCAGTATGCCAAGCAGGGAGCTCTGTATCATACCCACCCTGTTTGGTGTAGAGAGGCCTACATTCAGAAGTATCGACTGGTCCGGGACATCTTGGAATTCGGAGCCTACATCGGAGTCCTGGGCCGTGACATTGTCGACACTGAGCAGGGCTCGAGCCCGACGGACTCGAACCCCCCCGACCCCCCCTCGGACCTCCTGGACCTTCCTGGGAACCTGGGGGCGGTCGTGGGGGAGGAGGGCGGGGCCCTGGTGGCCCCTGACCCCCCTGCCCCGCCCCTGGTGGCCGACCTCCCGTCTCGGGCCGCTCTGGACTGGGGGGGCACCCGGGTCGACAGAGCCCAGAGAGCGGGTCACAACATCGTGACCCGCAACACGTACGTCTTTTGCCGCAGGTGTGCCAGGTACGCCCGTGACAGGTGGACGGGCCTATTCTCTCCATGTCGCCCTCGGGCCCAAAGGGTGATCGGGGGTAGGCTGACGCGGTTGTGGAGTGGGCTACACCCCTCCACCAACCAGCCCCTGTAGGGGCTCCTGGAGTCGAGGGTCTGGCTCGGGGACGGCCCGAAGCGGCCCGAGGCTCCCACGGCACGAAAGCGTAGGCGGTCGTGATCCGTTTTGGCCCGCACTCCTCCGCACTCCTCCTCCTCCTCCTCC